GGTATAGATAAGTAGACAGTTTTACAGTCTAATGAGGTAGGTGAACAGATATTACGAATGTGGGGCTTTTTTTTTAAGGGGGGAAAATCATCGAATGACTGCTCCCGCCTGGGTGAGGCGGGAGGCAGTGTCAGACTCTTAGTGACTAAAAACCACCCCGTTCCTTCTCCTGCACGTCGAGCCGGAGCCCCGGTTACCCGTTAGGTTCTCCGCGACTCGAATGTGGGGCTACGTAGTTGTCGATGTTTAGTATTTAGGAAGAGAATTCAATGGTTATGACGATAACACCTGTAGGGACACACTAGTATGCAATTGTTTATGTAATACGTATACGATTGTATGTGTGAGGTGTCTATTTACATTATTCCTTTAACCCGAGCAACTGTTATGTGTCCAGTCGATGAAATTATATGTAAGAGATAACACGAGAGAATTCTTATAAGTGGCTTTTCATTTCTATCGTTTAGTGTACCTAAAAATAAGGTGAATATTATCTGGGCACTTTTTATCTAGACCTTCAGGTTCGTCTGAAAATGAGCCCTAAAGGTCAGTTGGGGGAGTATGTAAAAAACACTTTTTGGGCACCCCGACTCCTAAACTCGTTTTTTTATGGCATAAGCCGGTAAATGAGCAGACGGATCACCTGATGGTAAGCAATCGGCGCCGCCCATGGACACCTGGAACACCAGAGGCGTTACAAGTGCGTTACCGACCTTTTGGGGAATGACCGGTTTCAGGAATTGGGGAGATTGGGAAAGGGGAGGGTAATTGGACCTCCGGTAACCTCACTCACCCGACGAAACACAACGCAAGCGTTGCTTCACGTCGGTTTTCTGCTCGGCCGTGGTATCACTCCGGTCGAGCTGGCCCATTCGTGCCCAAGCATGGCTCTCCTACACTTAAAGCTTCCTTGCCCCTAAGACGACCCACTGACCGTGCTAGCGTATTATTAGGCACAAATAAACACCGCTTCTGATTAGCAGTAGTGTACTAAGAATTCACAAAGGCAAATAATATAATAACTTCGAAACAATTCTGAAGATTGCTCGATAGTCAACCGACAAGAAACTAAATAATTTTGCTACTTCTAAAGATTTAGCGCAGAATACTAATTAATATTAACAATAACTAATTTAAAAACTACAAATAATTAAAAAATAAACTCACCGCTACTAGATTTAACTACACTGCTTCTATAGTCCTTTTCATACTTGTTTTCAGGCTGCGGACTCTTGAAATTGGTCCTGAAGAAATTCTCCGATGAAGCCACAATTTGCGTCTGTGGACCAACGGACACAAGACACTCTCGTTCTTCGTCCTTACTCTTGAAATTGCCTATAAACTTGCTGATGAACCCTGGAGAAGTAACTTCCCTCTCCGCTCCCTCCTTATAAGTACTTCGGAGAACATCGTGGGATTTTAAAGCATTCTTGAGCTCGGAGACAACTTTAGAGTGCGATAACGCTAGCTCGGACATGATCGGAGCTGGTGACGTAGGTTTCACATCCTTCGGAGCCCTACAGTCGCTTAAAATACAAAGATTCAATTGGCTCTTCGTTTGATATAAGAACGGACTACTATGTTCATCTCTATATGAAGCATGTTCGTCTTGAATTAGTTTTTGTCCGTGTTCACGACCGAAGAATGACATTAGGTCATCTTTGCGGACCGGTGGGTCATTTATGTCAAAGTCTAGGGTATCTAGGAGAGCGTACTTCAGACTTATGTCAGGTTTTATTAGAGATTCGTTTATTACTTCAGTCTGGAACAAAGAAGGAGACATTAATAATTAAATAATGAACTATCAAGATATTCTATATTTTTTTATGGGATAAGCCGGCATTGGCGTCGCCCATGGACACTTGGAACACCAGAGACATTACAAGTGTGTTACCGGCTTTTTGGGGATTAGGAATTTGAGGAGATTGAGGAAGGGGAGGGATAACCTCACTCACACGACGAAACACAACGCAAGCATTGTTTCACGTCGGTTTTCTGTTCGGCCGTAGTCACTCCGGTCGAGCCGGCTCATTCGAGCCGAAGCATGGCTCTCCCACACTTAAAATCAATGCTCTCTTGGCATCCGCACCAGAGTGTGATTTGTTCGCAGCGAGATGGAAGGATGTATGTCGTGAATGTGTAAGGTTTTGAGAGAAGATGGACGGCTGATGAATTAGTTTTGAGTAATTATAATTATTGTACTGTTTATATAAGATACCTATTACATAAGTGTAAATAGTAAATAAGTAATTTTTATTGTTTAAATGTATAATGTCTTCGCTTGTGTTTTAAAATTATGCATGTGCTTATAAATAAATTAAGTTATATAGTATTGGTATGTTGTTTAGTAAATAAAGATTTAGTTCAGAGAGCTATTATTGCCATACTAGTTTATACTTTATATCTTTCTAAATAGGTCAAATTTTTTGTAACAATTAGTCGGTGCAGTAGTAACCAAACCAATGGTTACTGTCCCTGTTCTTAAACAATCTATATTTTCAAATTATTTGACAAACTGTACCTGTACCTGTACCTACAGACTATCACAAAACCAGCACAAAGTTGATATGTTAACAATAATCAATTTCTAATTGCCTCATTGGCTGAGTGGTCGCTAGTGTGACTGGGCAAGGGCAAGGGGTCTCGGGTTCGATTCCCGTGTCGGGCAAAGTATTATTTGGTTTTTATAAAATTCTCAGTAGTAGCACGGAGTCTGGAATTGTGACCGGTATATGGCAATAGGCTCACCCCCTATTACATGGGATTCTTAACATAAATAGTGAAAAGTGGGTGTTACATTGTACAGAGAGATAATATGCACTTCTGCCTATCTCTTCGCGGATAAAAGGCGTGATGTTATGTTATGTAAATATTTTTTTCCAGCGCTAGATAAATTTTTACCAAGGAATACCTTTGACATTGATATTTGATACATATGACAATTCTTCCACACTAAAAACTGTGAAATGTCAATTTTTTTCTACAGTTAACAATTAACTAATGATTGAAAAATCTGCCCTCTATATTCAATACTTCATTGCTTTTCCACAATTTAGTAAATACAACATATATTTGAATTGAGAATCAATTATGGATCCCTGTTGAGCACAGCAAATTATATGAAACAGAAGGCAGAATGCTGAAAGGCATTGATACAATTTCTATCTTACCAGTTCCAAATTTAAAAATTTCTTACCAATTCCAAGTTTAAAAATTTATTCAAAGAAAATTTATGAGGAAAATTTTATTGAAGACTTAATTTTTTTTCCTTTATTTTTTGATTTTTTTTTTGAGGTGTAAATTTATTATGTTAATATTACTTAGTTCCATGGAAAGATTTATTCAAAGTCAAAGCATTTATTTCAATTAATCCATAATTAGGCACTTTTGAATATGAAAGGCTTCTCTGACAATAAGACATAGAAGCTCTTTGAAAAAAAAATTAATACCATACTGGTCTCATTAAATTTCAACATTGTAGGATAATCATTATAATTAGTTTTGTATAATATATGTACTACAATAATATGCTATACGAAAATTTACATAAAAAGTTTAATGCATGCAGCCACAAATATTTTAACAAAGAGATACTATAAATCGATAATCAATGAATCATCAATGATAAGTCAATTATTATTATTTTATAGACTATTAATCGTTCGGCATTATTTATAGCATAATTAAATAAAAAAAAAACAAATGATTTTATTTGTTTCTTTGCAGTTCGAAATCTGAATTAACGAATCATAATTATTTTCACTTAAACACACACGCAAAGAGTTTCACTTAATTAATACTGGCAAGTAATATGTAATCTATTAAATAATGATCAGAGGACGATATTAATGAACAAACAGTGCTATTAACTCGACGCATCGCACGAAATGAGAATGAATCACTCAATACCTATAACTGTACGTCTAATTTTAAACTGCACTATTTATCCTAATGTTCTGCACTTATTACTCAACTAAACTGTTTATTATGAAGTCATTGAAGTGTTAAGGAAGTATTAAAATTACCTTTTCTTTTTCCGTTAGCGTTTCCCATATATTTTCGTAAGAATTCTTTGCATCAACTATATCTTCGTGTATTTTCGAAGCTATAGGATTCATGGACCGAAAATATTCTTCAGCGTACGCCCCCAACGCCATGGTCACTGATTTTATTAAAATAATACACTTTTTCTGTTTAAAATTGTGCTATTCTTTATTGTTTATTGAGATTCGATAAACACAACCATCGCCGTACTATGACCGGAAATAAATAATGAATGAAAATGAATGAGCGAGACAGGGTGTAATGTTAAATGTTACGTCATTGATTCAAAATGACAGGAACGATTCAATCAATGCAGCAAATCACACTATAGGCTGAATAGTTTAAAGTTCAAAACGGCGTAGTTTGAAGGAAATTAGTACTATTATATGAAAAACAATTTTATTTTCCCTCCCGTAAGTTGAAATTCTAATGAAATAGAATTATTTTGACAGACAAGTTGTCTTTGTTATCTTTTTCACAGAATATACCAAAACCGTAATTGTAATAATTTTTTAACATTGTCGTAAGATAAATGTTTCAATTACAAAGCTATGAATTTGAAACAGACATTTAAAAAATTTAAAAGTAACGAAAAGCATAAAAATAATTAAAAATTACGGTTTTTACCAAAGTGTTGCCATAGCAGTATGTTGCCAAATATTATCGAAATATCGGTAAATGGGTGGACATCGAAATGTCAAAAAGACAAAATGGCTATCATTAGCTTTATTTGTTTAGTGTTTTTGACTATAAAATGTAACGGTAAGACGTGAAAGTGAACAAATATTTATATAACAGCAATCATGTTGCACAACACTGGGCCTTACGGGCCTAATGAGACGCCGGTAAATATGGGAGCACCCGTGAATATGACTCCAATGAGTGGTCATATGAATCTCGCTCATAACATAAATAATTTAAGTAAAATGTCTCACCACGCAGGCCAGGGGCCTAGCGGGCACTTCAATCTACCAGAATATGCACATTACAACCAATCTACGCTTGGTATGCCGCCCCAAATGGGTCAGTTTCCCAACTACCAGCAATTGGGGTTCCAGCATTCTTATATGAATCAAAGTGCGCCTTCTGTCAACGATTTACCCTTTCCAAACGGTATGTTTCCTATGAACTTTAATATACAGAACGAGCATAGTGCTAACATGATGAATTACGCTTACGAGAAGCGAGCGAGTGAAACAATGAGGCAGGAGAGCTATAAAGAACATAATATGCGCAAAATGCCCCTAAACATACCTCAGATACCAAATAAATCTTATGCCAGGCACAGTATCCCTGATGATGATTACGGACTTCACAATACTTACCATGATGTACACCACAACTTAGATCTAAGCTTAAAAACACAAGAAAAAATACAATTGGACAGTACGAGGAAGAAAAACATAGAAAACACTGTTAGATTAATTGAAAACATTCTTATTAATTCATCTAATAAACCCAAAGAAGTGCCGAGTCCTCCGAGTAGACCGACCAGCACTAGAATGGAGTTACTGCAACAAACGGTAATAGAGAAAGCACCAAAAAGTAACAAACCTGCGACAGAAACGCACAGTCACACGGCTTTACAAACGCAAGCAGATCCATTACAGGTGACACCTGCAGATTTCTCTAAAAGTAAACCTAATGAACCCATTGAGGTTCCAATTGAAGTTAACGATGATAGTCAAGATAAAGAAATGTCTGAAAACGAACCACAATCTGATGAAGAGGACATAAAACCTATAGCTATAACGCAACACTTTATAACGGACGATGCGGAAGTGAATACAGACAATAGTATCGTTATTAAAGTTGAAAAAGATAGTTGGGCGGACTCTGAGTGTTTTACTCCATTCTTGAAGGATGTGAATGGCTTCCAGAAGGACGATAATATGAATTATAGGATTATTGAAGCGGAAACTAGTGTTGCTGAGGCCATTGCGGTTTATAAGAATGGTAAATAAACTTATCTTATACTATACTAAGTATTATATATATATAAATCTTTTTTTTTTCATATTATTGTACCTGTACTTGGGCTGTCCAGTGGCTGTATTTTTATATAATGCTGAAGAATTTGTTTATTTGTTCTCAACACGCTAACCTCAGGAACTAAAGGTCAAATTTGAAAAAATATTTTTATTTTGGATAGTCC